TATCTGAGGGGCTAGCTATCTATTAGTCATCTCACAAGGGTTGGAAGGGCCACAAAATTAAAATTTCCCAAAAAGGGCCCCTTTTGATAAAACAATTTTAAAACGTTTTTTTATTTAGCAACCCCGATGCCGTTTACATCCGATTGGGGGATGAAAGTTTTTTTTAAGAAAAATTTGATTAAAATTCAATCTCAGATAAGATTTATTTTTTAAAAATTTTTTGTCGGCTTTGCCCCCTACAAGCAAAGGTTGGGCCCGTGGTTTTAAAGGGGAAAAAAAACAATTTTGGAAATTTTTTTTTGCCCAAAAACGAATTTTCAGCTCATTGATTTCAATTTTCACTTACGTATCTTTAAAACCCGTTTTTTCTTTTTTTTTGGGGGCGTTTTGAAGTAAAAATGTACCACTGTATGCAGAAATGCATTTTCGAGACTGCCAATGATGGCGGAAAAGCTCTGAATCTTGTTAACATTCTGACAGAAAATCAAGCTAACACTTTTGTTGGGTTTTTTTTCTTTGTTCATATCGTGTCTTAATCCACAACTGAAGCTTTAAATTATCATTTGTAATTTTTTTTTCCGACAACAGAAAAAATGTTAATGCGAAGGGTGTATGGGAAAGGCTTTTGATTGTCACGCAGTTTAAGGACATAACAAGATTCACTACGACCATTTTTTTCCAAATTAGGTAATGTGAAATGGCTTGGAATTAATGTACTCCGTCAGATTTTAAAAAAAGTGTTTCTTCGATGCATCTAACGCATTGATATCTTTTCCATCTTGAGATAATATAACAGATGAAAGTTCAAAGGCATATGCTTCAGATACTTAAACATAAAGGCAGATTGAAAACTGTATACAGTTGTAATAAAATTTGTTTAAACTTTTACTGAGCTTAGATCGAAAGCAAATATGTAAATATGAACACTGCACTTTACACTGCTGGAAGCGAAATGAATTTACCAGTATCACGGACTTTAATTCATGACATCCATGCAGACTGAGCCGACTGACTTGAGACATTTTTATCTGGATATTCCCGGATTGATAGACGGTTCTGAAAAAAAATGGAAGGTTGAAAAGTGCATTTTACAAATTGAGCTGCGTCACGACAAAACCAACATAATGGGTTTGCGACCAGCAAGATAAGGTTTTCAAATATATGTAGTCTTGCCAGCGTCATTTATTGTCGTTAAAGTCTATCACATTACAGAGTAAGCCAAATATAGAAATTAAATGCATTCTTTGGCAAAAATGCCCCCAGGTTAATATTTGCAAAGTTGTGTGAAAATTATCTCCCTTATTTTATGCATGTAAAACGTTTTTGAAAGGTTAATGTTTTGCAAAATTAGATTAATTCTGTGATACACAGAGAATGAAAAGTAGAAAAAATTGCAAACTCAAAATTTTGCAAGAAATTATATATGATCTTTCTAAAATTCCATTGCGGACTTTAAAGGACGTAAACTGATAACCCGTTTGGTTTGCATTACTATTGTAGTACATAAACAAATTCAAGACATATTTGTGAAAATTAGCCTTCCCTAAAGGGAGTGGCTTTAAAGGTCTTCCCTAGTGATAGGGAAGACAACTCTTTGTCCCTTTCCCTTAAGAGAAGGGAAATCCTGTGATGCGATGTATGTGGGTCGCACATTTTCATTTTTCCCTTAAAACAATATGTCCTCGAAGCAATGTATTTTTTTGTCGCATGGTAAAAATTTTAAATAAATAAAATTTTTTTAAAAAAATTGTTGGTAGGGGAAACTATACTGTTTAACTGACTTAGGATTTTTTAAAAGGGCCTATTAGTGACTTTTTTATTCTTTTTTGGGAATTTTAAAAAAACTAATAAGGATTTTATTTTTTTAAAAATTTTTAAAACCCAAATTAGGACTTTGTTCTCCAAAAAATTTTGCCCAAAATAAAAAATTACTTTTTGGGAAACTTTTACTATAATTAGAAAAATAAACAAATATCAATTGTAGCTCTTAAAAGTGGGTTAAAAAACCTTAATTGGGAAAAATAAAAAAAATTTATTAGGGTTGAGGCATAAAATCTAAATAAGAAGGAGCTTCAAAAGACTAAATATAAAGTAAAAAACCTACTTTGAACTTTGACCCTTCTAATTTGTTTTTTTATACACAGAACAAGCAAGAAATTTATTTCTCCTAATAAGTGTATAAGACTTCTAGTTAGGACATGAAGGGTCCTTATTACTTTTAGACACTAACACAGAAAGGTCATATAGTATGGTGGCGGTTATGTGCCATTCGTGTTTTCGACCCACGACACAGCCATTTTAATTTCTTAATTCAATAGATTTTGCCCCGCTAATTAGCGTGTTTTCGCTCTGCGTCCCGCCATTGTAACTTGTTAATTCTTGACTTTTCCCTTGGCGGGGTCGCGGGCGAAGACAAAAATGGCACAAATAAGTCACCATGATATAGTAATTTTCTAGCTTTACTGGTGTAGGACGACCACTGGTACATGTAGCTCTTCGTACACGAGCGGATACTTGAGTGGAACAACTGACGTTCAGAATGTTGGCTGTACAACTTCCTCTCCTGAAAGAATCATAAGTTCCTGCCGGGATTCTAACCTACAGCGATTAGGGGCAAGTAAATGGACACTAGTCTATGTACACAAATCAATATTCTTAAAAGATAAGTTAATTATACATACTATACTTTTTCATTTTGATGACAAAAGAAAAAGGGAAATTTTAAAATGTATCGGTTATGATTTTAAAAAATAACAAAAAAGAAAGATCATGATCATGTTTGATAACCAAACCCTAATAGTGGATTCATAAAAAAATTTTCTGACAAAATACAGTATTTTGTAATCATCATATGAATTGTCATTTAATTAATTAAGAATAAACCTTTTGTTAAGAAATTTTTGTAAAAATATCCAAGTGATTTATCAATATTTGAAATATTTCTCGAAAATGTGCCCAATGTAGACCAATCCACTGGTAGTTCTGTTGATATAGAGATCTATAAATATTGCAGACGAATATACTGGCGTCTGCAGCATAAATTGTTTCCTGATAACGTGAAGACACATACATCCGCCATGCGACACGAGTTCTTGAAATAATTTGGTCTATGTGTTCCAGAGCATTTTCGATTGCACACTGATTTGTCACTTTAAACTTTAAGTTGCTCCCATCGCGAAAAGACATGATTTCTAGACACTCTTTTGAATTCATTTGTAATATCAGAAGTGCGGCTTACCCGTGCCTTCAACATAAACAATAACATGGACTGGGTAAATAGTTGATATAAGTGTGTGAATGTAAATGAAACACACTTTGAAGGGCTAAAACAATAATTTAAAATCTAAAACAAGAAGAAAACCGCCCTACTCTACGGAAATCAAAACAAATAGTCGTCGTATCTTCTATAGTCTAACAGAGAGAAATTAACTATAAGTATTTTAAAGTGAATTTGTCTATAATGGAAGGTCAGTAATACAATGAATAAGAATAATTACGTTGAGAGTATTTAGTATAATTATGGCATAAAAACAAACCACTTGTAAAATATAATTGAGCCGTGTCACGACAAAACCAACATAATGGGTTTGCAACCAGCATGGATCCAGACCAGCCTGCGAATCCGCGCAGTCTGATCAGGATCCATGCTGTTCGCTTACCAACCTTATTACATGTAGAGAAACTGATAGCGAACAGCATGGATCCTGATCAGACTGCGCGGATGCGCAGGCTGGTCAGGATCCATGCTGGTCGCAAATGCACTATGTTGGTTTTGTCGTGACGCGGCTCAATTATACACACGTGTGAGATACACGATCCGATTTTACATATATTTATATAGCAGATAATAAAGTGCTCTAGAACAAAATATTACAATTCCTCACGTAAATGGTCATTCTGAATCACTTAGAACTTTATTAACATATTTTATATTTTATTCAAGCAGCATTTTATAAGGACATCTAAAATGATACATTTCTATAGTTTTTATCAATATTTGAAATACTAATGGAAAATGAAGGCCAATCCACTTTAAAGAGAATGATCTCGGTAAACATTTATCTTTACAGGAATTCGGACTAGGTACTATAGTTAACCTATAAAAATAATGTCCATATAACGTATTACATGTATGTAAAATAACACTGATCTCTGACGGATTAAACAGGTCTGATTATTTAGTGAAATGATTGTATTAATTTTATAGGTTAATCTTGGGGTAATCTGTAAGCTATAAAATTATAATAAGTTTATGAAAACAGTTGAAATTTCTTACAACTAAAGTGTTCCAATGTACATATGTGTTTGTAATGTTTATATTTCGGATATATGTTCAACAAACGACTTTGAAGTGACAATATAATGAGTGAAGGTATGTTTTAGTTGAAACAATACAAATATTACAAGTATTTATTCATACAACAATTTAGCAGATCAACATTAATGTATTAGGAAACATAAGCGATTTAATATTAAATAGTATATTTTTCAATAAAATTCACAAGTTTTATCAATACTAATTGATGCTCTGTTTCGTTTCAAGAAAAAAGTTTACAAAAGCACTGATTCGTGTACTGTATTAACTTTGAATTTTAGCTTATGATTCCGATATGTTTGTGCAACGTAGAAGACGTCACGTCAAACTAATTGTATTGTCTTTTTGAAAACAAAGCGAATCTTCTCAGATGTCTTTCTGTAATTAATACGCACATCAGCAAAAGAAAAAGTGCTGCCAAGCTATATTCAAAGTGATATGCAGTGATTAATTTGAATTTCATTACATAAAAATAAAACTTGAATTTATTTTATTTAAGTTTATGTTATACTATTTATATTATAATTATTTATTTTATATTTACGAGTTTATCATACTATATATAATTTTATATTTATTTGGTCACAAAATATGAATATAGCTAAAAATATACAAGTCATATATTATAAGCAAATTACTTAAATGTCTTTATTAACAAAATACTAACCATTTTCTTCTTTATTTTTGTAACAGGCTATAAAGGAAAAAGTGGAAGGTTAGTAATTTACTGTTGTTTGTGATGAAGTACATTCAATTCTTGTCAGATAACCCTTTAAACTGCTGGATATGTATAACAGAACATTCCAGCTTCAATTTTTAGAACTGTTCATTATGAAAGAGTTGGTACGCTAACAGTATATAGCCCGGATGTGCAGGTTAGCCGGGCAAGCGTTTAGTAGCAACAGATTATTATGGTGGCTGATTTGGAACGCTTTTGTGCGTCGCGTTGGCGCTAGCGACAACAGCACAAAGCGCTAATTGCGCGTTGTCGCGATGTCACATTGTCGCTCGGTTCAAATCACAGGATTGGCTTATAAGCCAAGCGACAGGGCGACATCGCGACAATGCGCTGCACGACAACGTGCCGTTTGGTGTGTTTCGCTATCGACAGGACGACAAGACGACAGCGCGACAACGCGCCGTTTGGCGCTTTGTCGCGATATGGCTAGCGACAAGACGAAAAGGCGATAACGATATAGGTTGCATATTCGCTATCGACAACGCAACGCGCAATGTACCAAATCAGCCACCATAGTTTATTGACATTTTAGCATCTTTTTATCTCTAAATGAACAGGTCAAAAGAGCAATACAACAATAGCCCTTATAAATACGAGTATAATTCTGAAGGTTTGGATATTGCATTCAGTTTTTATCTAATTAAACAATGCTCATTTCGTAAAGGTTAATATAATTGTCAATGACTTATGTATATCCAAGTCGACTTGTATTAACATTTCAATGTTTTCACTTAATATTAAAGTAGGCAGTCACGTCGGAGGAGCATCGTCATCAGAACACCGGAAGTATTACGTCACAGGCCGTCACATAATGATTACAGATCCCGGGCTAAACGGGAAAATGTTCAAACGCTCCAAAATAGTGTACGTGTGAAGTCATCGAACTCTAAAAGTAACAAATGGTACGCAACAGGATATCCGGCGTTGAGGATAGCTGATAGGAAACTCCGTGAACGACAAGAAGAACAGAAAATGAAAGACAATACCAGACTGACCAGGAAGACTAGGAGCTACAGTAGAGGTAATAATTATAAATAGTTTACGCCTTTAATTTCAGTGGTCGTTGACCTTTAAAGAAACAATGTATGATTGCCTTATTGAGAAGATGTATTGTGCTGTTATGTATGGTGGCTGATTTGTGCCATGTCGTATTTTTGCTCATCGGGGCGCCAGAGAAAAAGTACGAAAATACGAAAACGTGGAGCGCCAAATGAGATAAAAAAAATTAAGTTTAAATAAGATCAATATCAGTTCGATGAGAATTTTTTTTATAAACCAATGCGTAATGTTGTAAAGTTGCATGCCTCGAGATCAACCAAAATATTTGCAAGAAACTCAAACTTGAGAAAAATGATGTACTAAGATTTTAGAAAATATATGTAATAAATCATTTAAGATTCAAGTAAAATTAACATGTTATGTGCTATTGATTACTGATTCTGTAGCATTCATCACAATATTTTTACTGCGTGACTAACGCAGTAAGGGCTATTTTTGACCTATCTTTGGTATTTTACGCGGATTGTAAGCACCGTTTGCGAATTGATAATTACTTTCTTTGTTCACTTCACAATATTTTACTTTTATATACATTTCCAAAATGTTCATAGAAATAAGCATGTGTCTGGATGCATGCTGCTTTAAAGTTTTAAATGAAATACAACATTGACGACCACTCGACTTGTAGTTATTTTTTTATTTATAGAACGCATGTTTAATATTTGTTACTTTATAAGTTATTTCTTTCTGTTTTCTAGGCAAAAGTGTTTATGCCAACAATGAGGATTCTAGAGTTCCGTATCATAGATCACGATCTCTCGACATTACACAGATGTCATTATCGACCTTTGACCCGGAAGTAAGTAGAAAAGACACCATAAGACTTACCTACACCGGAAGTACTTCGCGACCAAATTCGACGCTGTCGTCGAGAGGATCGAGACGAGGCTCCCTCAGTAGTAGACGAGGCTCAGGTATCGTTCAGAAGAAGGTTGGCTCTGTTGTACCTCACATGAGACGGAGTTATACATTTGATGATTTGCAGACGAGAATTTACCAGCAGATACATAAAACATATGGCGAACCTGACGCAGATTTGAAAAACAAACAGTTCTTTCTAACCCTTGCACAAATGCAATCCGATCATTATAGAATGAAGAAAATGAAACTGAATGAAAGCGATAGAAATTTTCTCGAGAAAATGTTTGAAGAGATGAAATACATACAGAAAGAGACTGGAAAGATTCTTCAAAATTCTGGAAAACGTTATTCAACACAGTTTGAACAGCCAAGTCCTGTCAACGATAAACTTCGAAGTCTTCCAAAAGGAAACCAACACGAGACATTCTTGAAAAGGGTTCCGAGACAGAAAGAAAAATTGAAATTAAAACCGCTCCGAAATCCTGGCGTTCATAGAAAACGAGAAACGGGCTACAGATATGCCAATAGCTACGACCAATATGAGAATTACAAACGCCGAGATTTAAACAAATCTTCCAGTCATTACCAGCGAGCGAAAGGTAAGGTTTTCTTTTAGGTTTCCAATATTCACGACTACGCCTTTTAACGTGACACGGGATAAAACCAAAATCCCCACTTTTTAAAACCATCTTCAAGTTTGAATTTCCCAAAAATTTTTGCAAAAAAAATTTTAAAATTTTCCCTATTCTTAAAAATTAATCATTTTAAAAAAAATTTTGAAAAAATAAACCAAAGGATTGAAGGGTTTGGGGAAAGAAAATCAAAAAAATCAAATTTTCAAAAGTTGTATTTCGAGCAGAACTAAATTAAAGAACCAGGAATATGGAAGTTTAAGTTGAATTTCGAGTCTTTAATAGGAAAGGTCAGTGAATTGAACCAGTCTTTCAATTAAAAGATGAACTTTTTGTTTTGATGATCTAAAATAATATCTTAGTCCTTACAACACATTGATATGTTATATTTCCCAATATTATCTTTGCCCATTTTCTGTAACTGATAAATTTCTATCTTTAATATTTTTCAAACATTAATATGTATCTATTATTAAAAAGGATATATATAATAATAGTATGTATTACAGTGCCCGATAACCCGTCAGATATGTTGTTATTTCTACAAGAAGCCGAACGCTTGTTGACAGCGTACAGCACAGGTTTGTTACGTTTCTTGAATGTTTTATTCACAGGTTTGTTACGTTACTTGATTGAATGTTATTGTTCACAGGTTTTTGTTTATTTGTTTGTTTGTTTCATTTTACGCCTTTTCCCAACAGTATTTCAGTTCATCCCCCAGCCTCGAAGTATTTTCAGTCATTTAGGGCCCGGGGCTAGTTTCCCTAAACCCCCCCCCCAAATCGTTTCCGGGAGGAGTTACCAAACCCAGTATACTCAAAACCACCTTTCCCCCCGCGCTAAAAAACTTACCAAAAGAATCTCCCGGGGATAGGAACCCACACCAGAATCATCGACTCTAACCCCTCTTTTACCACGGAGGAGGTTTCTGTTTCAACAGAATTAATACGTTATTTTGTTGAGTATTTTTGTTCACAGGCATGTTCGTTATTAAGTTGAAATCTCTTGTTCACGTTTGTCACCTAACAAAGTTGAATTTTTTGTCAACGTTAATTACGTTACAAATTTGAATGTTTTATTGTTCACATGTATTTTTCGTTACTAAGATATATTAATTGTTAACGGTGTTGAATGTTATTGTTCACAGATTCGTTACGTTACTAGGTTTAATGTAACTAGCATCATTTATATATTGATCATGAAACTTGATATATTCTATTATTTATATGAAAATTTCATTTAATCTACCAAAAACAAATTAATTAGCAAATACATGCTCCTTTAATTTCGTCAAAACGTTCTTAATTTTGTTTTATCAGAATGGTATAAAACATTTTGTTTATCTTTAATTCAATTCAGGACTACTTGATGACTCAACTAAAGGATATGATCGTGAATCTTACACCAACCTTGCGAGGCCACAAACGGACAAACAAACTAAACTAAAACAACAACAACAACAACAACATAATCATCATCATCAACAACAACAACGACAACAGCAGCAGCAACGCATCATCCAACATCAATCATTTGATAAAACTAGAGAAAAGCAGTCAAGCGGACAGAAAAATCCATTGAATCAGTTGTCAACACAAACAAATGTTGGTCATAAACCGGCGCCACCTGTTTATAAGAGACCAGAAGCGTTTTACGATGCCCGAAAACATATGAACTTTTACAGTCGAGCAAATTTGGTCAGTCACCGACTGAACGAGACAAAAAGCACGAGTTCTCTAGGAACAAAACAAAGCTTCACAACGTTTGCAACATAAAAACGTTTTTAAAATTTTTTTTAGAAAAATTCCCTTTCGGGTTACAATTTATTTTAGGGAATTTTAAAAATTAAAAAAAGGCAGATTTTTATAAAACTAAATGATTTTTATTTTTTATTTGCTTTTTCCCAAATTGAAGAAAACAACCTTTTTTATTGACAAAGTCTTTTAAAAATCCCCTTCCCCCCAATTTTTATGAGACTTGTTTTAAACCATGGGCCCGCAATATTGTGTAAAAACTTGTACCCTTTTCCTTTTATTAAAATATTATCTAAATGAGCCGCGCCATGACAAAACCAACATAAAGGGTTTGCGATCAGCATGGATCCAGACCAGCCTGCGCATCCGCACAGTCTGATCAGGATCCATGTTGTTCGCTTACCAACCCTATTACAAGTAGAGAAACTGATAGCGAACAGCATGGATCCTGATCAGACTGCGCGGAGGTGCAGGCTGGTCTGGATCCATGCTGGTCGCAAACCCATTATGTTGGTTTTGTCATGGGGTGGCTCAAATAACGTCAGGTAGGTTAGTAAACGTATGTGTGTACAAGTTTGAACAAATGAAATATAAAAGAAGTATTGACTCGAATATCTGTTCTAATGAAGAATTAAAGAGAATAACCTCTGCGGGAGGCAACACCAACTGGAATCTAAAGTGTTTTTTTGGTAGTTGCTGGAAGGGGGTTGCGCAAGAGAGGTTAGATTCAGTATCAAATCTTAGTTTTGAAAATGCTGATTATATTGTTGCTTTAAAATGGTGCTGAGAAGGATATACTGTTATACCAATGCCTCCTTTTTATGATGTTGCCGTGTGTGCTGCGCGGGTCTTTACGTCAAACTTGAGACACATTATTATTACGAGACCTCACTTTTCTTGCGTCAATGTCTTCCAATTAACTAACTGATTTGCTTATTTCATTCTTATGTCTTTTGTGTGTGTGAAGAAATTGTAATTGTGTTCGTTCGGTTGTGTAAATGATCAACATATAAAATGTAAATAATTAAATTAAATTAAATCAAATCTAAATGACCCATTAAGCTTATAATCGCTATTGTCTTTGGTTTTTGTGTGTGTTTGTTCTATTTTTCTTTTTGCTGTGATAGTTTCCGAAAAAACATTGTCATTGAAAGTGTTTACTCTACATATAAAGACAATGGTATAAAATTTTCACTTCGTAAACAGAAAGTTAATGATACTTTATTTCATATACATGTATTAAATGATATTAATATACATCAACATATCTACATAATATACAAAAAGCTTAGGCCAAAAGATTTTGCAACATTATCGTTCTATATAAATATTTTTTTTAAAGACACAAATCTGTTTTTTTGTTTGTAAAGTGAAACTGAATGTTTGACCTTAAGTAATTTACACGGTTTTATCTTATGAGCGAAAAACTGATTTAAACCTAAAGAAAATTCTATGTACGGGTAACTTATTAAAATGAAAGGGTTCTTCATTTATTTCCATACTAAATAATGAAAAATTTCAAAAGTCAGATTGAAAAAAAAAGTACTGCCTGAACCGTTATTTGTGTTGGTTTTCTGCCACACCCATATAAAAAGTCACGTGGTATAGGCACCGTAACTAATCATTATCATAAATTCAGTCAATCAATTTGCCCTCTCCCGGGACAGTTGCCCCCAGGACGTTTGCCACCTTTTTGCAGTGACGGACATTTGCCCCTCATAACTATCGAATTATCGTTATATTGTAGTTTTGTTCCATGACCTCTCTAGAGGTCAAAAAAGTAGATACCGTAATTTATTGTTTGCTTGTAATACCAAGTTTAATATTCCTTAAATATACAAGAATGAATATAGAGCATTTCATTATGAAATTACTACTAATCTTGTTTTATATATTTCATCTTTATAAATTTATTTATATTTCATCCTTAAAAAATTTACTCGTATACAGAAATTTATTTGTTTATTGATTGGCTTATGTAATACATCTTTTGGAATTTTGTTGAGCGTTTACAACGATACATTGATATATCAACATAATTGAGCCAATTAACCGCAGTGCATAAATATCCGTTATTTCAAAATCACGGGAAGAGGTGAATCCTTTTAAAAACGCCTTTCACAGAACAGTTTCTAAGTAAAAATCCTGTGGTTTTAGATCTAAGACCGATCTAAGGTCTTATACATGCGTCATGCTAACCACAGTAGGCTGGCGTAGGTTTACAACCATATCAGGGCGTATTTTTAACAATCTATTTATAGTTTGTGATGGTACCAGAGTAACCCCGGGCTTTATTTTTGTTTCAAATAAACACATTATCAGACGTTATACGGTATAATATCGGTATCTCATTTGTAAAGGATAAGCCTTAAGTGCTCTTCACGAGTGGTGTATAATAAACTAGAGGATTTACAAAAGTTAAAAGATCGCCAGAAATAAGTCCAGTATTTCTTCGTTTGCATGTTTAGCCACCCACACGTCAAAACAATGACGCAAAGAGTTTTTGTGATTCCTATAGAAATAGACAGTTGCACTGAAAAATAAATAAAAATAACAAAAGGAAAAAAAAAACGCACAAAAACATTCTTTCTTTTTGGTGTCACTTGACGATATCCGAACTGTATCCAAAGCTAAATGTTCTTTTTAACCCGGCAAGCAACACCGTAATAATATGTTTATTGATATTTTAAAAAAAAACAAGCAATAAAAAAACCAAAAAAAAAAAAAAAACAAGAAAAAAAAAAACAAAAAACAAACAAAAAAAAACCCCAATAGATTAAAAAAAACACGGCGTTTAGACTTAAAGCTACAGCTGTGACTAAACATTTATTTTCTTTTCCATACTTCAATAATCCCTTAATTTTCTTTTATTCTTTATTATAAAATTCAGTCGTTCTTTGAAAGTTTGTTTAAGGTATAAACAATTTATTTTCTTAAGATATTTATTGAACGAACAGAATCACGTCAGGTATAAGTTCGCTTGTAACATATGCGCCTTTCTTTGCGGGAGAAGTGGCCACGTGCTGTAGCAAGCATTCCTTCAGTATATCATTAAAATGTTTAAAGGGACTCCCACTCTCCAGTTTTTATTGACATGACGGGACTGGAATTTATTTTTTGAGATCAGTTGATGTAGGTCTATACTAATAAATTTTGTTATTCGCTCACTCCGTTTTCCAGAACGCTCATTTTTGTTGTGACAAATGACACAAAAGTCATAAACGTTTTAAACGCTATTTATTCATATCGTGCTAAAATCACACTAAAAATTGTTGTTTTTTTTTCAATTTAATTCCCCGTAAATTTCTTAATGAGCGTTTATATTTTTATCCCTTTTAAGTTTCTCGGTACATATAAGGATGATTTTCATATTCTATGTTTTTAGGCTTTCGGATCATTTCAGTCCCTTTAATGTTATCTTTTAATGGCGAAATCTTATTTAACGAGAGAGAATTACCACGATGTGAAAATAATATATTTACATTTATTATTTATGTGTTCCTAAATAGCATAATTTAGTGATTTTTTGTTTGATGTGTACTCAATCTTAGCCAACTCTTGTCTGTTCTTTTTTCCTTGGTCCTCTGGAGCAAAGTTTATGGCAGGAATGTGTGGCAAAAAACATGAAAACGGAGAGTCAAACCGTTACAAAACGTTCATTGACTACTTAATATCAAAGATGACATGTTGATGGCTAAACAATTACACTAGTTATCTTGCTGACATATTTTTATACCAATTAAGAACTCATTCTAAAGATATCGCAGTCTTTGATTAAACATTTTAGTTTTGATAAACGTGGACAAATTTGACTAAAGGCCGATTAGCACAGATATGCGGCAATAAATTAAACAATATGAAACAAAAACTGTTTTCAAAAGATAACATTATAAGACGATTAATTTCTCTACAAATTTTTGAACACATATTTTAGGCCTCAAAATTAAAGCCCGGCATAGAAAATGGCAAATAAGCCTTACTTGGTTTTACTCTTTTTTTCTCGGGTCAAGGGCACATGCAACGATAATTTCTTGTCCAAATGCGCTTTAACAGTCGTCGGGTATTTTCAAAAGCGCATGCGTGTTATCGATTCGGTATTGACTGGATTACAAACGTATTTCGTGAATTTTGAGGAGCGGAAGTATTTTTATAAGACCGCCCCGTTTCTGTTTGCGCAGTTTTACACAAGTATATACAGCTGCAAAACATTTTTTTACGTTGTTAGCAATCAGATAGGCGGGGAACGCTGATTGGGCTAGCCAGTTTGATATGAATATTATATAAACATTTATTGATATCCTCATCAAGTATCATCAAGTAATCAGTGCGAGAACGTAGCTCGTCAGTTAAATAAAGTGCGACATTTTAAAATGGAGAAACTATCAATATTAATAATAATTTGGACAATTTGTACTTATAGTGCAGGTAAGAAATAAAAGAGAAGTTCATACGATCAAATATTAGTTGATCTATAATTTTATATGGCGTTTTATTATTTGTTTCTTTTCGATATCTGGATAAAAAAATCAAATAAATCAAACGAAGTGTTTATAAATGAAATAAGGGTTTTCTTTTTCAATATGAAGATATAATACTATATACTGTAATGTTTGCTTTCTGTGTCTGGTTATTAAAGTTTTAAGTTTAAAAGTGACGTTATGACCTAAATGCAATGGTCAATGAACAGGTAAAATTAGAAGTTGCCTGATATTTTTCGAAAATTTGTTACATTTATTATCATAAATAATAATAAAAAATAATCAGTAATCCACTTGACCAATTGAAATCTGTTTTAATATCGTTCAGAATTTATCGGTAACGTACAATTCTTAAAAAAGTGTTGAGCAGTCTTTTTTTACAATTTCCTTATTGCATTGTATCATAAACACTGTTCATTATCAAATATGAGTCAATCACCATTTTGATAATCAATCTTTTGAGATATATTGCTAATCAACACGACAGTGAAAGAAAAATGAGCCGTGTCATGACAAAACCAACATAATTGGTTTGCGACCAGCATGGATCCAGACCAGCCTGCGCATCCGCGCAGTCTGATCAGGATCCATGCTGTTCGCTAACCAACCCTAATACAAGTAGAGAAATTGATGGCGAACAGCATGGATCCTGATCAGACTGCGCGGAGGTGCAGGCTGGTCTGGATCCATGCTGGTTGCAAACTAACTATGTTGGTTTTGTCTTGACGCGCCTAAAATGTGCATACATGTATTGTCACTTTTAAGTCAATTCGACACCTAATGGTCATATGGCGGCATTCTGGTTTACTGGTTATTATTTTGGAAAAACCTGAGTTAAAGCATCGACAGTTCTTAAGCTTTCAAATCCAAAACGGTTTCGAACCCGCCTCGGTAAGGGGCCAGTTGTTTGAAATCAGTAATTTAAACGCATCGGCAATAGTGGTAACTGCTTCTTCTTATTCTTCTTCATTTATTATTAAAACTTTTACATGTATAATAATAATAATAATAATAATAATAATAATAATAATAATAATAATAATTATTATCATTATTATTATTATTATTATTATTCTGCTTATTATCATTATTCTTATTGTTCTTATTTAAATGTGCCTATGATCGTAATTTGGAGGAAAAATATCATTTACAACCGATATGAAGTAAATGTTGATTACCAAAAAAATTTCTTAACAAAAAGAAAAATAATAAAATATAAAAAAATGAATGAAAATAAACAAAAGAAAATGAAGAAAGAAAAATAATTTTAAAAAGAAACTATTTTTGTGAATTATAATTTTTCTTTCTATAAATACTGTCATGCACTGGCAGTATCTCTGTTTTCCTTTTTATTACTACATGTTTTTTTTCTGCAGAATGTAAACCATTGACACAAAGTGTATCCTTCCCGATACCGACAACATTTCTAACACCAACACCTAGAAGAATGCAATGCCCGCACAAAAGAAGTACTAATTATAAGAGGATTTTCCTCAACGACGACCAAATGCAAGAACTATATTTGGAATTGTTAGGAAGTATGGACCAGGGCATGTTTGCTAAGACTTTAACTGACGCAGAAGCGAATTTTCATCACATTCTTCTTCCATCGTCATCAAATAAAACTAAAGTAAGTGTTTCTGAAATTTCCCCCGTTATAATGTTTAAGTTTATATATTGGTTACTAAAATTATAATTGATGAAGTAGGTTCTGAATGGCAGACTATATGAGGAAAGGAAATTCCTTAGTTTAATTTTTAAAATAAATCATAAGCTTCTTTTTTCTGTTAATGTTAGTTTGATCTTTGGATACGGTATATTTATGAAATATTTGCGGACTCTGAAACAGTTTTCTCGAGGTTTTGTTATCTGAAAGCATTTATCTTACTCGACCGAGAAAAAACTCTTTATGATACATGCTTTTTGTTTCTGGACTTTAAACTAATTTATATGCATTTTCCATATTTTCAATATTATGTATACATAAAGGATATGAAATGAGTGTAGGTGCAACACTGAATTTATTAAATGAGTTAGATAAAATCATAATAATCAAACGAGCCTTTCGCAATTATAACCTTTTAATCAAACAAGTTAGATGAATTTAGAAATGCACATACTACCTAATGAACCTAATAAACTCTTCTTTTCATCAAAACCCGAGTACCAAGAAATAATTTTTTAATTACACATTTAGTAAATTATAACATCATGATATGATGTTAAAACTCATATGACGTCTCAATAAAAAATACACGGCGTGTCTTCATTAACAATTTACGGAGTCGCAAAGCTACAAAGGTATATGTTATTAATAATAAGTATATTTATTTAAAATGTATATTTTCAGCATTGGCGACGTAAAAATCACACCAAAAAGTCTGATTTCATCAACGACTTAAAGATTTATCAGTCGTGGTATAATTCAATGGTAAAAGATCTGACAGTAAGCAATGATACGATCGAAAATGCCGATGCTCCTCTTTACCACGATTTCAAAGATGAACTTGAAGATATACTGGCGAAAATAGATATAACTAAAAATCAGTTGAAACAAGAACTTGGCCTTATACATGATATTGATGAACTTACAGCCTTTCGGCTGTCAAATACAAAGCGAATAAAAAGAGGTACCAACACTATAGGTAAATACAAGCGATTTTATGTATCTTTACTAAGCCTCCAAAAAACTAAATTTCTGATAAAAAAAGTTATTGTTTGGATTTTAAAAAGGAATACTGCCAAACAAAATAAAATAAATAAATAAATACTGTAATTAATTGCCTTACAGCGAGTTGCGCATGCACAAAATCATTGCAAAAACGGATAAAACCCTTCTTAAAATTACAAACATTATTTTGTTCCCGAACATTTTATTCCGTTTATGTACATTATTCAGATGTGTTAAATAACAGAGACATTCTATGTTACAACTTTTTCTGGAATATTATTTTACTGTTGATAAATTTTATAAGAATATTTCATGAGATATAGATTTATAACCAGATGAAATTACGAAAAAGTTTAATATAAATTTTCAAATCCATTACTTAATATTGCAAGTTTAAGTTTACCTTTTTGAATCATAACATTATAAAATTATTCAAATTTTATAATAGTTTTGTAATGACTGTGATTCCACTTTCCACACATGATTTGTGCTCATCAGCTCTGTTAAATAATGACAAGAATATCTCTACAGAAGAGAAGGACAATATTATCGTTGATATTTATTTCATTTTCAGGAGCTATTCGCTCTCGGACGGAATATTGTCATAATCGTGGCAGACCTACCGGGACCAACTACTTACACTTGTGCACTACATGCGCCGTTACGACACAGTTTCCTGAAGACATTTTCCCGAGATATACAAACGAAATTAAGTGTGATCCAACAGATTGTAAATGTTTTCAGGCGACAAAAACTATAGGTACTTCATTCTCTTTTTATACAAGTGTTGCTTGTTCGGTCTTCGTGACTATAATTTGATCTCGAACAATGATTCTAATGGGTTTCAGATGATCCTGAAACTGTTTGATTAGAAGTTGGTCACAAAAATGTTTAGTACTGGTTAGTTATACAGGAAACGCCGAAATTACTGCCAAGAAATATCCAAAAATATGACTGTAATATAATCGGCAGAAAAAATCAAGAAAAAAAATCATGTTTTTGTTTGAATGTTTTTTAAATCTGCTTTAACGTGCTATGCCATTTTATTAGATTGAATATAATTTTAATTTTGCAATGGTTTATAATTATAAAAACATGTACTTTCTGTTGTATAAATTGAAATTAAAAATGATAAATAGATACATAAATATGTGAGATCCAGCACTTTGGTGTAGATTTGACTTCCTTGTCGGTTACTATTATTTCCTTTTATGTATTATTAAAGTGATTATCATGTCCGTGCTATGCCTTGTTCCCTTTCCTGTTTTTTGTGGTCCTCCCGGGCTGCTGGCTGCTGTTCCTTGTTGCTTGGTGGTGTAGGGGTTGCGTCCATTGAACGCCGCCTTTCCTTGTTGGTCTTTTTCATAATATTTTATGATTTAATTGTTGTTTTAGTACATGGTAAATGTCAGCCCATAATAAAGAACGTTATTATGCTGAGAAGAAATCCCGGAGGATGCAGGATGACTATAAAGAACGGACAAGAAGTTTTTACAGATGATTTTGAAATGTATCAACAACCTTTACACGTGGGTTGCGAGTGTGTTCTGAACAAAAATTCTCTTTACGCACCTTTGGTACCGAAACATTAGAAACAGGAGAACCATGTTTAGGTTGATGTTGGAATAAAACATTTGCCTGAAGTCGGCTGTATTTGCAATACATGCGATGAAGTATTTTTAAAAAATGAGTTGGATGGCTTTTAAAGTTATCGTTAAAAGCAGCAAAAAGATCGTTTCAAATGTTTTTTGTTGTACATGTATGTAATTGCATGAAAAATGTAAAATAATACATGTATAATATAACCGACAAAGGGGTAATGTAATAACTATCAGTTAAGAACTGAGATGTTTTGTACATATTTTTTATATTTTATTTGTTATTTATTTCGACTGTACTACGGTCGTTAAATGTTTTTTTCCGGTCTTTCAACTTTCAACTTTTATCCAGAACAAGGCCCGGTTGGGGTCTGTTTGAATGGATTCCAATACTGTTTGTAACGTCGCATTTTATTGGACAATACTGACGTTTATTAGTCGCCGGTAGAAACCGGCGACTATATTTGTAATAGTTTAATATTATACCTATGGTAGGAGAAGCCCTTAAAATCTGAAAATTAAAAGCGAATCAATGGCGCGATAGCTCAGTTGGTTAGACCACTGACTGTCACTCCTGAGGTTCCGGGTTCGATCCTGGGTAACACCCTTGGGATTTTTCAGAAACACTTTCAGTGTTTCCCACCTAACTAGAGGTTTACTGGTTCGAAACCCAGGTAATCCTCGCATGTATCAGTGCTATACACTGGGCATGTAAAAGAACCAAGGAATCTATTCAATAAGAGCTAGGGACTGGTTCCCGGATTTCCTTGTATCTCATAGCTGTCACTAGTGTCTGCTGAGGTAAGGACCCTACTGGAAATAAGTGCTTGCACTTTCGTAGGTTATCCTTGACCGCCCGGTCTAAAGAAAATCAATCAAAAAAAAAAAAAAAAATCATTGAACAATTAAAGACAACAATTATTTTTCAGTCATCTCAAAAAAGTAAACATATGATAACTTTGCTCAATGAAATGAAATATGCACATATTGACATCTAAAAAAGCAACATTACAATTTTCATAAAATGAATCAATAACGTATCCCCAGGGATCAGTCATTTATTATTAGGGTAACTTCTACTTTTTTCTATGTGTCAAGCATTGCTATTTTATAATATATAAATCATGAATGATATTTGAAATGACACTTAAGAATTATTTGGTTGTTTATATTTTATGAGAACTACTATATTACATTATTTTATCTAATTATAAACAAATTCTCTCTGGTCTTTCGTAAGAATCACGTGACTACATGTTTAGCGTTATAAAATCTATTAATACAAACAGATTGCTGATAAGACAGGTAACTTGTTAATGGTGGTAACTGATAAGATGCATATCATTGTAATTTTGTACAGATAATGACATAAGTTATTTTTCATTTATCAGTTTCATACTTTATATCATTAGAAAAACCTGTTTACTCATATTTTACACATTAAAAATAAATTTTCAAAACCTTTTCCTTTCTTTTTGGTAAAGAGTAAAACTTGGCCCTTTCTGTCAAACTTTCGACAAGAAAGTTCAACAGTTTAGTTTAGGTTGAACATCCCAAAATAATGTTATGCTTAAGAGGCACATTATTGAAATATAATTATAATGGTAAACGATGATTTTGGTATATTCCGTCGGTTTCCGTCATGCAGGTTTCCAAAACGGTATGACGTTAGGGGTCCGGAATCGTATTAGATACATGGAAAAAAATAACAAACTATCTTTGTGTTGATAGTTTATCGCACTGAAAGGCAATAAAACGTTAATTTTATATATCATAATTATGTAACGATGGGAATACATGTATTGATTTCAACTAAATTATATATTTTTTCTATAGCACATAATAATGAGGTATAACACTTTTACAGTAAAATTGTATTGCTTCATGAAATAATTAAACATTTATATTTTCATAGTCACTTTGCAAATATTCGATGATCGGTAATTATTTGTCGGTAATTATCTGAATCTGAACTAGTAACCTATACGGATTTCAATGTATGGTACAACAGTATATGTATAAAGTACAATTACCAGAAGAATTACCAGCATAGCACTTGCCTTACAAGCCTCAGTGGCAAACATTACTCAACTCATTGTTCCTCTTATTTTTATACTTGAACCATTAAACTTAAATTTTCTTGTAGTTATGATAAAACAATCATTTTTCTATCCGGTGACTTGATGCTTTAGCATCAAAATCTCTACTTGTAGGCGCCCGCGCCGAAGCGCGGCGCCTATTATGGAATGAAATCAGATTTTGTGAAAGGGCGACAGCAACTTCTCGAGCCTTTTATAGTTGTTCATAATAAAAGCCGATCATTCCGATCGGTATGAGGGTGCTTGATTATTAGTCGCGATATGTACAATGAATGGGGAACTGGAGAATTTCGCAATGCAAACATTTTCAAATGAAATAACCTTTTCCGTCAATAAATCGCGCTCTTCGGGGTATTTTTGTTTATCATTTTGTAGTACACAGTGGGTTATTATGGTATGTTATTCCGAAGGCTGTTAATAGAATGATGAGTTGATGACCTAAATATTCCGAAAATCTATTTATAGAGGGATGTACTCCTATCGGTAATTCCCGGTCTCTCCCGGGATTTACTAGTGACCGGCGAATAGTACCACACGTTTATTGTCCGGTCTCTCCCGGTTTTGGAGTAGATGTTTGATATCGTTACAGAACAGAATAAATAAGCTTTTTTTCAAAATGAATGTTTGTCACTTAGTTCGGTTACAATAATTAATAAACACAGATCAACTCTCAAATTTATTGATTATTATTATACATGAACATACAATTCGAAAAAAAAAACCAACAACACAAATCGCATGTTTTATTTTATCTATATAAGATAAAAACAATAAATATGTACAATAATTGAGAAAAAATGTACATTTTTATGGCATTAATATGACACTATCAACTTTGAAACATTTAATTTAATTTGTTATTCGTGTTTAGTAAAGATGCCGAGGAATTATTCAAAGTTACAAATCAGATTTTATGAATTATTCAATTGATTGATAATCTAAATAATGATAAAGAAAAATACAAATGTGCATGTATAGTGTTTAAGAATAAACAATATTATATATTGAAAGATTAACCATGATTTACTGACTTTTTCCAGTTAAGTTTTGACTTATAATCGTCGGTCTATATGACAATAAATTATTGAATTCTTAAAATAGTAGTAAACGTAAAAACTCAGTATTAAAATAGCGCATAAAACACAAAAAAAGAAAAGAAAACAATATTCATAAAATCTGTATTTTTTTATTAAAATAGATATTACAATTATTGTATAATAAACAATTATGCTCAACATGATCAACATGGTAATATAACAAGTGTCATATTGTTACTAAGTGTGAACAGATACCTTAAGAGGGCGTCCTCGCTAATAGCGATAACATAATAAGGGACAATTACACAAGTATGGTGTTGATCATGCGTTACACATATGGATTATAAATGATTGTATACATGTATATCCGTTGCTATTAATAACCACGATCATAAAGAAATAACAAGTAATATTCTAATTTCTAATTTCTAATAAAAATATTCGTAGTGGAATCTGCCATAATAAATAGAGATATTTTCTGCGAAAACTTGTGTGTTTGCTTTATTTTTTTTTGCTCGGAATTATTCATAAAATGGTAGGCTTATTTAATATTTTCTTAAAAAGAAATAATTGTTTTATGTTCGACCTTCTCCGGTCATCGACGGTCACCAGTTTCCAAAGACCTTCTTCTATATTGATCGATTATTGTCAACTATATTCCTGATACAAACGTTTATTTACCCCCCCCCCAATCAATGTTGAAAATAGTTAAATGAAATATCTTTATATCATTAAAAATGGTCCCCGCAGGAAACCATTTTACTTGTTTTACCTGTAAACCGTACATGATTGGTTAATTAACCTTTTCGAAAGCCTAGCTAAATACCGATTGCCGGTACGTTACGGATTTACCTCTAGGGAATTAGTCCGAATTACACACCTAATTTAGAACAAAAAACTATTACGTGATATTTCTAATTTTCTTTAATTATTTTACCGTTTAAGGTGGAAAAACTTGAATGATGTGTTTGAAAATGATCAATGTATCTTAAAAATCTATCTCAAATTTTACAAACAATAAATTGTTTATACTGAAAAGCTACAAAATTAAAATATTCGTAGTGGCATCTGCCATAATAAATAGAGATATTTTCTGCGTAAACTTGTGTGATTACTTTATTCTTTGTTTGCTCGGAATTATTCATAAAATGGTAGGCCTATTTATCATTTTCTTAAAAAGAAATAATTGTTTTATGTTCGACCTTCTCAGGTCTTCAACGGTCACCAGTGTCCAAAGACCTTCTTCTATATTGATCGATTATTGTCAACTATATATGAAATATCTTTATATCATTAAAAATGTTCCCCGCAGGAAACCATTTTACTTGTATAATCTATATAGTTACAAGGCTACTGTAACTGTTCGATGCTCTAGTGTGTCTTACCGCCGCGATCCGGAACTTAATTAACAAAAATCACAACTTACTAATTAATTTCATCTTCACGCTAAATAAAGGAATTACTTTATTATTTTTATAGATTCGGTACAAAGATTTTTAATTTAATATGGTCGTGAAATGGTCGTTTACTATATAACACTCGCATACATATTTTGGCCAAACAACCATATGGCCGTTTTTACAAGACTATATAATATGCTGAAAATCCAACCTTTATTTGTAATATAATATACCGTCAGTATTGGGCACGTGGTGTTTTTCATGTGTGTGCTTTTTTATTGTATTGTACAAACATGTAAATAGACATTGCATTTGAAGAAAAATACTGGTTTTATATAATGATACAGAACAGGTCTGTAGCAAAGAATACAAAATGTATTTAAATATACAGTATGTTCCTGGTTTTGTAAATTAATATGATATTTGTGTTCAAATGTGTTGTTTAAATATTTGTTGATATTTTATGAAATGGAAATGTTGACTAATTTGTAATATAATATAAAGCTGATGTGTGTTTTATGTTTAACTGGTTATAGATACCATATGATAATATATCATAATTTATAATATTGTTGCCAAAGCGTATTGCGAATCTGCGTGTCAGGTAGGTGACACGTGGGATACGTTTGTCAGTCGAGCGAAATACGTTCCTTGCTGCTTTCATTCATCGGCAATACAATCACAATTATTATGATGTTACTGATAGGCAATTTATTTTATACTTTCTCTGAACACCTTTCAAAACCGGTATGAGAATCGTTCATAAACTACGTGAAACAAACAATTAGCAACAATCGATCTACGCATGCCGAAATGAGCGTATACGTAACGTAAAGTTCATACGCCGTGTACGATGCTAAATTTGAAACATATTCAAAAGTTGTTTTTGATCC